TTCTTGACCTACACATTGCGGCTCAAGGAATATCAGCAACAGATAATTGACCAAGGGACAATAATAAGCAAAGACTGAGATTAGTGAGAGAAGAATGCCTCCATGGGGTGGGGGGGGGGGGGGGTGGTCACTCCTCTGATTTATAAGCTGCCCATCAAGTCCAGAGCACACAGAGAAGTCTTAGCCACAGCTTTCCACGGTAAATCAAACATATTGAAGCGATGAGACCTGACCTCCACCAGTCTGAAGGACCAACGTATAAATCTTCAGCGTGCTGCTGCCCTTGTGAAGCTGCTCAGCAGTCAGCACTCTGCATTTCTTTAGAAACTGGCTCGAGATTTTCTTTTGATCGTATAAGTTTGCCGAGACTAATACAACCTTACGCTAAGCAACTTGAGCAGCCTCATTATTGTGTCAGCCTGGCTGATTGGGTAGCACTCTGGCCTCGGACACTAGTCTAGGCTGACACTCCGGTGCATTGCCAGGAGAGTGCTGCACTCTCAGTGATGCCGTCCTTTGGAGGAGGCGTTAAACAGTCTGCAATAGCACATGTGAACCAATCTATTCCCACTCTGCTGCAGGTTCCATATCCTCTTTAGATGCTTCTCCTGCTTGAGCATCGATCTAAGTTCCTTTTAAAATAATTTAATGGCAGAGAATGCGAAATCCTCACCATCTTGTTTCCAGACTCACCTCACTCCGTTTTTATCTGCGATTAACTTAAAACCTGTGTCTTGCAGTGAATGGCTAGTTAACTGACTATAAGGGGTTCAAGGTCTGTCGTGCTGAACCACATTATTATTATTTGCTTGCCGGTGACTTGTGCTGTAGTTAAAATCCAGATTGTTACGAATGTGGGTTCTCATCCACGGTGAGTGAGATTTTTGTGCAGCTCAGTTAGTTTTCCTGGCAAAAGCTGTCCGGTCTCTCGGCAAACTCAGCCCGAAACACTGATATTAAACACAGGCTGTGTTTACCTGTGAACAGCCGCGTTTGCTCCACAATATTTTGTATCAATTTTTTTTTTGCAGTTTGCACGTTTTTCCTGAAGTTTCAGTGAAAATGAGAGCTGACAGCTGGTATAATTACAATTTGGGTTCAAATGGGTTTGCAGTCATGTGAACACAGGACTTTCACTCAAACTAATTTATACATCTTAACCTCTGCTACTGCAGCAGGTCACCCCGAAGACGCAGAACAAGAATAGCATTATTGAACGAGCGCTGTAAATTGAAGTCACGATGACGGAAATTGGTTTAAGGAAAAGAGTCACTTGTGCATGGAATGGGAAGGCTGGAGTGATCATCAGTCTCGTTTGTCCTCCCAGCGGGAAAAAGGAACCGCCTTAGAGTAGAATACTATCGTGGACTGGAAGAGGGGACTAGAGGCGTTATAATAATAATAATCCTTACATTTGATATAGCACCTTTCCTGAGCATTCCTGGCCAACAATCCTCCAGATAAAATTGGTGGCTGTTCACTTCATGGCTGTTTGGGGGACATTGCCGTACACAAATTGGCTACTCCATTCATCCACAAAACAGTCACTCCATTTTATAGTACATCCTCAGAAGCGCTTTGAGAAGTTTCTCCCGACATGAAAGGTGCTGTATCAAATTTAAGGATAATAATGATAATTATAATAATCGTTCAAGAACGCAAAGAACAAGAGTGTCATAAAACTGAATTGCACACTGTAAGATTACATTTGTGATGCTTACTTACTGTTTATAAGGTTTTTGAGTTGTCTTTATATACTTTTTAGAATGTAACCAAACACTTTTGATCTTTTTAGTATAACATTCCTTAGTTACGAGGGTATGGACAAGTTTGCTTGTGTAGGGCCCCTGAGAAGATTGTGGTAATCAGCTTCAGCAAAGTTAAAGGTACATTGGCTTGAGGTCAGGTTCTGATAACTTTCCCTCACTCAGTCCCTGGGTCCATGTCACCCTCCCCACCTGAGATTTGAGTAATCACGTCCTTGCATATGGATGTGAAAACAAAGGGGTTCAGAGGGAGAAGTTCACTTGTGGACATCTGCTTATCTCAAGACTAAGAAACAGGGAGATGGCAGAATCCTCCCAAAAAGCCGTCCATCTCTCTTTCTCCCTGTCGAAAAGAGCCTGCTCAAGATCGCTAGCAACTTGCGAAGTAGGGAGGCTTCATTCTCTGTGACCACTGTATATTCACTTTGCAGTACGTCCTGTGAAGCGCTTCGAGGACGTCTAGAAGACGTGATAAGGCGCTACATCAAATGCAAGGATTATTATTATTATTATTATCACTGCAGCAAGCTGATTTTCAAATGAGTCCAGAGTCAATGAGCAGAGCGGGAGAGGGGAAAGAGAAAAGAGTCTCGATTTTCTGCACCTTGGTAGGTAAGGTGGCTTCAGGTAAAGTTCCAGATAGCTCCACTCCATGCCTGTGCGCACGCACACACACATACACACTTTGCTTTGATAACATAAATCAGCAGGTGGCAGTAATGTGTCAGAAGCAGACACGTGAACCCAGGTCAAAGCCTGAGAGAACCGCAGCAGGAAAAGATAAAAGATAAAGGGAAAAGCACCACAGGTCAGTCCCTGGTAAATTTTTAACAATTGGCCTTAGCGCAGTAGTGCACCAAAACTATTTCACGCACTCCACGTGAGTAGGCATATTACCAGAAAATGGAGCTTTGCAAAGGCGTTTCGTAATGTGCACAAATGAAACAATAGTTTTTTAATAAAAAGTGTAGTCATCCTTCTCAATTCTGCTTTGGTGAGAATAGTTCAAGTGCCATACACACATCAGGGCTGGATATGTGTGTTGGTACTTTTCAGTGAACTATCTGGAAGCTGTATTTCCCACACACTAAAGTCCCAGTGCCAGCACAGGCCAGAACACTGCTCCGTGGCAATGACTACACTCAATAGATCACAGATCAGTGCAGGCAATTATTGACGTGGTACAAATCTAGTACCTTCTATATTAAAGGCTCTGTTTTCAAAGATTCTCGCCCCAATAGGTTTCGGTTCTGGGGTACAAAATTCCTTTTGCCGCCTTTGTAACGATTCTTAATCCACAACACTGGTGTATTAAGTAATTCCTTTAGTCTCAGATCACAATACTCCTGAACATAAGGCCTTCCAGGGGCCCTTTATACTCTCTGCTTCCAACCCACTAGCTCCATCCCAATTGCCCTTTCAATTTCTTAGGGCAATATCCGACAGCTTTTGGTGATTTGTGCCATCATCAGGAATTTTTTTCCCGTTAAAATATTGTGCCGTCTAAATTCCTCTCCTCCTGGCATCCATTCTCAGTGCTTAAGCTCTCCCAGGGGTTCACGCAGTTTGTTCATCATTAACTCAGAACATGGTTAGGATGTATTCTCTGCAACAAAGCCTTATCAAGCCAGAGTTCATTAAATTATTGTATTTTAAGAGGAACTTATGGATCGACGCAGATGTTCATTGTAGACTCGAGCTGTGCAAACTTCCAAGGACCTTGGTAAGAGCATCGCTCAGCGAGCATCAAGGTCCCAGGTTCAGTGTGTGGTCAATGCTGAGATAGTTGTTCCCAGTCGGAAAAGAAGTAGACTATAATTGGTCTCAGTGGCCTTTGTATGGTGGTGGGGGGGGGGGGGGGGGGGAGAATGGGTGTGGGGAGGGGGGCAAGTGAAATAAATTAGGCTTCCAGCTACTGATCATTGTCTGAAAACTCTTGCTTCGAGCTGGGTAAGGGTGAGACTCCTTTCTCCCTTCAAATAACTTCATGTGGGATCTTTAATGTCCACCCAAAGCAGCAGATGGAATCTGAGTTCCCAGTTATTAATAGTAAGAATTAAAAAATTATTTCCACTCCATTTCATAACACGACTTTAGACTCTCCCTCCAATGATAAATGTGCAGTGTCATCACCGCAATGTGGAAATTGCAACGCTAACATTTTATTGTATCAGGTTTCTGAAAAGTGCATCAACTGGAAACACACACAAGGACCTGACAGCCTTTGAGAGGGAAAGAAAACGCTTGATTGAGCAATTGAACTTTATACAAGGAGTGACATTAAGTCACTGAAGTTGTCAAAATGTAGTAAATGTAAAGTGGTTACAATATGGAGCTGGAAATCAACTCCGATTAAAATGACTATCTTCTGTTGTCACCTCAGCTCATCGCAAGTATTGCCTGCGTTACTTAAGTATTTAACTGCGAGTTTTAAAATCAGTTTTACAACTACAGAACTTGCCACTAGAGGGGACTATTTTTCAGGGAAGCGGAACCAAATAAAAGCATATTTTTTAAAGAAAATCTGCATAACTGAATCTCACAATTCAAGAAAATTTTGAATTTTTTTTATATCAAATGCAAGGATTATTATTATTATTATATAAGAGCAAGCTGGTATGTTCAAACAATGTTAATTGCAGGATATTACATACACCAGCCCACATTAGAGTTTAATTGCTTTGAAATGTATATAAGTATTATATTATTATTATTGTTGTTTTTGAAACGTATTTGCACTTTTCAATTCAAAAAGTTGTCACTTTCAGAAACTTAATTACCAAATCAGAAGACTTGCGTTCGATTGAGTGTATTATCATCTCCCCGAATTGTCTCGCAGATTTTAACCGAGGTCCCGTCTGCCTTTTCAGGTGGACGTTAAAAGACCCCACAGCATTGCTCGAAAAGAGAAGAGAGTTTCTGGGGGATTGTTTCAATGGCTGTTTAAGGGACACTGCCGTGTACTAAACTGACTGCCACATTCACCTATGATCCATTTCACAGTAAGCAAGTCCCGTGAAGCGCTTTTGAGACGTCCTCGCGACGTGAAAAGCGCACTAGCAAATGCAAGGATATTGTGGTTGCGTGATAATAATAATAATAATAATCCTTGCATTTGATATAGCGCTTTTCACGTCGGGAGGACGTCCCAAAGCACTTCACAGAAGACACTGTAAAGTGAATTGACTGCCTATTTATGGGCGAACGTGATGGACACTCGTTGCGGATTGAACGGAGGGAGGAACATCTAGTTTTATTGAAGCCTCACACGTTTCTTCACTGTGCCTGTGTACAATTTACTATCACCTTCCCGCAAGCCGAGAGAGGGGTTGGGAAACCAGCCTCGCTCACAGGCTGAACCAGAAACTCCACCGGGCAGCACCTCCCCACCGGGGGCTCGCGGAGCTTCAGATCCACAGCACGATAGACGTTGGCGCTGGTTCGCCCGATCAGAACCGTCTCCGAGCTCTCGACCTCTTTGGTTTTGTGGGAGCACAGTCCTCGGCAGTAGATATTGAAGTAACTGGCTAATCTGCCAGGGTATGCCCACTGCAGTGTAGCGCTCAGAGACAGATCGCTTAGGGATGTATCTGTGCCTTTAGGTTGCTTTCTCCACAGATAGTTGCTGACAGTAGGATTTTCAACCGGATTCAGTTCCGCCCTCAGCTTTGCAGCATCCAGAACCTTAAAAAAAAAAACAGCAAATTCCTTATTTCAATTAATAATAATAACAATAATCCTTGCATTTGATATAGCATTTTGAGACGTCTCAAAACGCTTCACAGAATATACTGTAGCATAGAATGGCTGCATTTTGTGGACGAAACACGCTGTCCAATTGCGCACATTGCCTAATAACACCACTAACCTCGGAGAGTGAGACAAGTGAAAACACAGAAGGGCTGAAAAAATAATCTTTGCATTTCCCGCCAACATCCTAAAATTCTTCTCTCCCTCTCTCGTGATTCCCATCATCTTTATAAAGCATTTCGAGAACTTCATCCCACATGGAAGATCCACATCAGGCGCAGAACGGTGCTCAATTCTCCACTCCAAAGTGCCATGAATATCACCTTATTTTCGGGGTCAATTTATCCAATGAAGTGGTGTTATAAAAACCAGTGACGATTACACGGAAGCCTCTCTCGAGAGGAGAATTTCCATCACTTTCGTCTCCTCCTGTTCACCCGATGTATAGAAAAAATGCTTCATAACCGGGAACAGAACGAAAGGCATTCTCTGCCTTCGGTATACGCAAAAGGGTGGGGGAGGAAGGTATTCGTTGTAACTAATGGAAGGGATCAGGGTGGCAAGTAATGTAAAAGTTCTGAACGTAAAAGGAACATGCACTTGCAAGAAGCCCCCTTGAGGGAAAGGAAAAAAAAACATTGGAAGCCAGAGCGATGTTTTTTTTTNGCAAACTGTCGAGGTAAGACCGACAACAGGTCACAGCTGAATTGTTGGCCAGGAGCAGATTTCCACTGAAACCGCTTCAAATGGAGTTAAATCAGCTGATACCTTATGACCGTGTAATCGAATGAGCCGCTGAATGTATCCCTCAACCCCCACCCGCCCCCCAGAAAGGTCACATTTGATCCACGGCACTGTGCAGAGCACTGTTCTTTCCCTGTGGCGCTGTGAGAGTCAGACGGTGGGATCTGCAGGGAAAACAAGGACTTTTGAGAGTTTCAGAGATGCTACCGCATGTGAAGGGTGCTGTCTAACTGCAAGTTCTGGCTGTTGACGACTTAATTCAGCCCCCCCCACTGGCACGACCCTAACTTGAAGCCGCTTTAGAAGTTAAAAAAAAACAGTAAAAGTGAATCTTGAACAACTGGCCTCACAGAGGACTGCGGAACAAGAGGACATAGGTTTCGATTTGTGAAGGGCGATTTCAGGACAGTCGCCAGAAATTTTTTTCTTTACCCCGATGGTAATTAACACTGGAACAGTTTTCCGGGAAAGTTTAGTTGATAAAACACAAATGGCTTTGTTCAGTGACTTACCCTGATTTCTCCAATCCTGCATTTAAACTGTGCGTCCTGGTCATTCTCCTGACCGTGAGCGACACTGACTTGGATCTCCCGCAGAGCGCAGTCCTTCATCTCAACCTGGAAGAAGCTGGAAGCACAGAATCCCAGTCACTTAACTCCTACTGGGAACTATTGCTGAGAACCACCTATTAGGCTGTGATACGCTCTCTTCATAGACTCGCGAGCCTCTCCTGAAACCTCAGAACATCGGGGGAATCAAACGCGGAAATCTACTCTCGAGCTAAACATCATCAAAATGAACGTTATGAATAGACCATTTCTGGCCCATTTGGTCATTAATTCTACGCTTCTGTTTTTCTTCATGTGAGCCCCATGGAAAGTGGGGAATTTATTCCCCACTGTCCTGCTCCCTCCCCACACCCTTCAATGTTCCTCCTTACCTAGTGAATCCCTGATATAGGAACACAGTGACAGCAGCATTCAGCCCATCAAGCCATTTTCTTAGATCATGGCTGTTTGTAAATGTGATTTCATTTACCTTTTTGCCTTTTCATTGCCTTTTCTCCAAGCCCCCACCCGCCTTCCCACCATTACCCTGATTTACTCTACAGTCAATCAGTTTTTCACGCAAGGAAATAGCTCAACTTGTCTCGTAAAGCATGGAACAAAATAACAAAAGGTCACAAAGCTGAGCTCCTCTACGAAGAGTTCTTCCTCTCCTCTCTCTCCCCTCTTTGGCCCTAATTCAATCCCGTGGACTCATAGACTCACCGAGCTGTCCACCCCCCAGGGCTCCAAGAGTCACAGCTTTGGACAAACTGCTGGACAAAGGCATCGTCCTCTGGAAGCAACGATGGCTTCAACACTGCGGGAACAGGAGGAAACACTAAGTCTAAAAACAATCCTCCCGTTCGATAATAGCCACTGGTTCTGATCCAGGGTGATCATCACCATAATAATAATAATAATCCATGCTTTTGATATAGCGCCTTACCTCAAAGCGCTTCAGAGAATGTTGCAAAGTGGATTGACTGTATTTGTTTTGCGGGCGAAACACGGCAGTCAATTACGCACAGCTGCGTCCCCACAAACAGCCAAGGAGTGAGTGACCAATTTTGGTGATGGGTTCAGTTCGCAACAACAACACCGGGGATGGGAAGCTGTGATTATAACAGGCGCTCACTCACACTGCTGAGGGGTGGTGGGGGGGAGGTGAGAAGCAGCCTATGTGCGCTCAGGCACCTCCAGGACAATGCTCACTCTCTGCTCTTTGTTGTCTGTAGGACATCACTGAGTATAAACTAACCGCCTGCACGAAATCCCATCTCACTGACCTTCAAGTGTGGAACTCGTGTCCGACTGATGCTGAGAGGGAGCACAGGTCATCAGCTCCGGAGTCAGACTGACGCCGCCTTCGAGTTTATAGATGAACGAAAGGAAGATTCTGGCTGGAGGGTTGTCCAAGTGGAGACGGAATAAACTGTTGGTTGGGAAGAGGTGGGGAGGGAGGAGAGAGGGGGAGAAACAAAGGGAGCATCATTAACAGCCTGTGTCTCCCATGCTCACAATTTACACTGGGTCCCACTGGGAACACGTTGCGTATTTAAACCCTAGGGAAACCCAGCAAGAGGTTCGTAAACGCTATTCGGCTTGGAGGAGGACTGTGCAATTGAGAAATCACTAACAACTCAATCTGGGGAACAAGAGATCAGTTTATTTCATTGGGGATAAAAACACTGTCGGAGCTATTTAGGCGACGGGGGTCATTTGGTGTTTAATTTGCAGCATCTCCTAACGGGATTCCTAAACAGAAGCCGAGCCACACAGCGGAAATTCCGAGCGTCTGGTAACTGAAAGCAACTGACCCCAACCTGCGGGAACCTCTCTTACTGGGCACAAGCCATTCTACAGCCCACAACCAACCTCACAGTCAGATTTGATGTGGCGGCAGGGATTAGTCCTTCGATTACTAAGGAGCAGCCTCCATTCCAGGCGTCTTCTGAACACCCATAGGTCTTCACCCAGCTCCTGGCAGCACCTCCCGCCCGCTGGTCGGTGAACAAAGGCTGAATTTCCTGGGCGCTCAGATTAAGCCAACTCCCCGCAGCCTCCACCTGTGGCCAAAGGTAGCAGGACGCTGGTGATTAACCGGAAACACCTTTGTCAAAGACAAGCTGAGGCTAGTTACAGCAGAATCGTGGACAGTTTCTGACATTCAGTCTTAATTTAGAAGTCGTGTCTCTCTCTCTCTCTCTAACACTTTCTCTCACTTTCTCTCTTTCTGGCAGTTCTGAGTAAAGAAAGCAGCTTCCAAATTCAAACGGAATGTAAGAATTTCCCACGCCATTGCGCGACCTTAAGCTTAACAGTTGACAAAATGGTGGTACAGGCTACGTTCCCTGGCGCCTTACTCCTCGGCGAGTGCCAATCCTACCTTGCCGTTTCTGTAAAGGTTTTTCCCGAAGCCCTGACAGAAGGAGGTGACGAAGGGCAGGGAGCAGATGCTGTGAGTGGGCAGATACTCAGTCAACATGTTCCAGAACCTAGACAAGAGTAATAACAACAAATTATAAGCCTCGCATTTGAAACAGCGCCTTTTAACGTTGTTGAGACACCTCAAAGCTCTTCGCGGAATATATTGTAAAGTCTAGCGACTGCGTATTTTGGGGGGGGGAAACGTGGCAGCCGTTTACGCACAGCGGAGTCCCAAAAACACAACCGTTTTGTTTTATTTTGGCTGTATTTGAAGCAAGAGAAAGAGGTCTCCAACTGCTCAGAAGACGTGCGGGTAAAAATTCCGTTGCGTTATCCACAGAGGCCTTTGGCAATGCCAGACGCCAGTGGGGAATGCCATGACAGTACAAAATTACATTTGTACAGCGCCTTTCACGTCGGGAGGATGTCCCAAGGCATTCAAAGCCAACGTCACCAAAGGCAGTGCGTGTGGTGCTGAATGGAATTATTTCACCTCCATAATTAGCTACGGATCAGCCCCCAGACCACGCATCAAGCACCCATTCTCCTCTTATCCGGTCACAGACCTTGATCCCCGTGCAATATCCTTCAATACGGTCTCCTCGGGAGATGGCAACCGAAACAGCCCAGAACAAAAACAACAACAACGATAACAACTTGCATTTAAACAGCGACTTTCTCGCGAGGGTAGCATCCCGGAACGCTTGACAGTGACGGAGTACGACCCCGAGCCAGCGGGGGAGAGGGAGGGGGGGGGGAGGTGACCGTAAGCACGATCAAAAAGGAAGGTCTTTAGGCGGGATTAAATCACATTTTTTTTAAAAACTCCCAGCTTTTCCCTTTTGTTCGGCCAACACAGCAAACAACAACAACAACAACTTGCACTTACATGGCGCCCCTCCATGCCGGGCCGACGTCTCGAGAGCGCTTAAATCTTCAGGAAGCAGGGGGGGTCTCACAGGTTGATTACCAGGCAGACTTACTTGTGTTGGTTTTGGTGAAATTCGCTCTTTCCTAAAGTTTCGTAGACCCAGCCCGGGGCAAACAGGGCGGCAGAGAAGTTGTGCTTGCGGATGAGCTTGAAGGACTGGAAGGCAACAGGACAGACGTCGAGAAGCGTCAGATCAGGAGGTTGAAGCCACTGTGGGACCGTCCGGCAAAACCCGAGGGCGAAGTACAGCAAAGGCGGCAGCAGAGGGCAGCAACCGAGCAACACGGATGGAGGAGATGGGCACAGAATCCTCTGTGGAACCCAACCCACTAAGTCAGTAACCAACGTGTTACAGCAACAACAACTTGCGTTTGTACAGCGCCACTCGCGCAGGGTAGCGTCCCAGAGCGCTTTACAACGTCCAGGTACCTACCGCCAAATGGTGTGTGTGGGGGGGGGGGGGGGGGGGTGGGATAAGAGTAACGGGAGTCACGTTAACTTCTGGGAAGGGGGCAATTCAAAAGGTCTACCTCGTTGGTGGTAAACTTTCCTCCCACGACATCTCCGCGGCCAAACACATCGATCCCCACGTAGATGTCCGCACGGCGCCCCTCGGCCACGGGTCCGACGCGCCGGAGGTGCTCCTCCTTCCAGTTGTAGTTCAGGAAAATCCCGTCGCAGGAATCGAAGAAGATTCTGAGAGGAAGAGACGAAACAGTCGTTTGGACCTTCCTCGCGACCCGCGTCCCGTGAAAGTCGTCGAAGTCCCCCGCATCGGAATTACTGAGCGCGTCGAAACGTTCGTTCCCATAAAGCTCACAGCGCAATTCTAAGTTTACGCAGCTCATGTCACGTCGGGAGGATGTCTCAGAGTGTATTCACGGGCCTGGCTGGGCAGCTGAGCTGGGGGTGGGAGCTGAACAAGGCAGGGAGGGGGAAACGATGGGTCAAAAGCACGGTCAAAGAGGTACAGCTTGAGATGGATCTTGAATGAGGCAAAGGGAGGGAGCGAGTTGGAGGGAATCCAGGACGGAGTTCAGGAATAGCAGAAAGCTTGCCCAAAGGCAGGCAACAACAGCAACAACAAACTTACATTTATAGAGCGCGTTTCACGTCGGGAGGACGTCCCAAAGCGCTGAACAGTCAGGTGTCGGCGCTCGAGCATGGGGGAGGGGTGGTGCAGGGGTGAGGGAAGGCAGAGAGGTGGGAGGGAGACCAAAGGCACGGTCAAAGAGAAGAATCTTGAGACCGGCTTTGAAGGAGGCGAGGATGGAAGTGAGGCGAAGGGACCGTGGGATGGAGTTCCAGAGTTTGGGGGCAGAGCGGCTGAAAGCCCGGCAGGACGGAGGATATGAAGCAAGCTGGTGCTCATTGAGCGAAGGGAGTGACCGGGTGGGTAGGGGTAAAGCAGGACTTGCTTGCAATAATCCGTGCAATCGATGAAGCGATCGACAGCGTGATGATGAACAGATATTCGGAGAAGCACTTACTTGTTGTCCTGGTTTAGCTCATTCTGCCATTTCAGATCGCCATTCTCCAGCACACTGTCGTACCAGATAACCAGGCTGTCAGGAACCGCCTGCTGCATCTGGCAACGCAAGTAACGAAGAAAAGCCGGCACATTCTTAACTGCGCAAGCCTGCAATAAAACAACACAACAACAACAAGATTCCATTTATAGAGCGCCTTTCACGTCAGGAGGACGTCCCAAGGCGCTGCACAGTTGGCACAGAAACGGGCACACCTTTAGACATCATTTACGCTAGGGAACATTCCTCACCCAATTCAATGGCTTGGAGAGGAGTCACCTTTAACAACAACAACAACAACAACAAGATTCCATTTATAGAGCGCCTTTCACGTCAGGAGGACGTCCCAAGGCGCTGCACAGTTGGGTCATGACCCGAGCAGGAGGGAAATGGTCAGGGTGAGGGGAGGGAAGGGAGGGAGAGAGGAGGGGGGAAATGGTCAGGGTGAGGGGAGGGAAGGGAGGGAGCGAGGAGGAGGAAGAGAGTCGAGAGGGGAGCTGAAGGCACGGTCAAAGAGAAAGGTTTTGAGACCGGCCTTGAAGGAGGAAAGGGAGGAGGCGGCGAAGGCACTGGGGGATGGAGTTCCAGAGCCTCGGGGCTGAGAGGCTGAAGGCCCGACCACCGATAGTAGGGCGGTTGGGGCGGGGGACGTGGAGCAGACCGGAGCCAGAGGAACGGAGGGTACGGGCAGGTAGGTAGGGGGATAGTAGGTTGGAGAGGTAGGAGGGAGCAAGGCCGTGAATGGCCTTGTAGGTGAGGATGAGGATCTTGAAATCAATCCTCTGGGGGATGGGGAGCCAGTGGAGGCGAGCGAGGGTGGGAGTGATGTGGTCCCGAAGCCTGGTGCGGGACAGTACACGAGCTGCAGAGTTCTGAATGACCTGCAGCTTGTGGAGGGAGGTGCCGGGAAGGCCGGCGAGGAGAGAGTTCCCATAGTCCAGCCTTGAGGTGACAAAGGCGTGAACCAGGGTTTCAGCAGCGTGAGGGGTGAGGTAGTGCCGTAATCTGGCGATATTCCGGAGGTGATGGAAGGCGGTGCCAGTTGTGGTGCGGATGTGAGGGAGAAAGGACAGCTCAGGGTCGAACAAAACGCCGAGGTTCCTGACTGGCTTTGAGAGGTGGAGAGTGCAGCCTTGGATGCTGATGGTGTCAGCGCCTGAGGTGCGGAGGCGCTGACGTGAGCCAATCAGGAGGGCCTCGGTTTTTCGCACGTTGAGCTGAAGAAAGTTGTCTCTCGTCCAGGACTCGATGTCGGACAGGCAGGCTGTCAGGACATCGGTGGTCGTGGAGTTGAGAGTAGAGGAGGAAAGGTAGAGTTGGGTGTCATCCGCATACATGTGGAAGTTAACCCCATGTTTGCGGATGATGTCACCGAGGGGGAGCATATAGAGGGTGAAGAGGAGGGGACCGAGGACAGAGCCCTGAGGGACACCACATGAGACAGTACGGGGGGTGGAGGAGAAACCATTCGTTGAGACGAAGTGAAGACGGTGGGAAAGGTAAGAGCTAAACCATTCAAGGACAGTGCCTTGAAGGTTGAGGTGGGAGGACAAGCGGTGGAGTAGGATAGCTTTAAGAGCTGTCAACGTCAATGTTTTTAATCCACTAAATAAAAACTCCAGGTACTTTTCAGGAAAAGAAACCGAGGGGGAAACTGAGTATTTACGGTGCGTGTGTGTGTAAAAAAAAATTGAACTAATTTAAAAAAAATTGATTTGCAGTGATTCCAAATCGGATTCCTATTGTGGCCAACGGGGGGCGCACAAGACCAGCCAAAGGGTGGTAACTGGACTGAGCTGTTGCACTCCTGGGCACAGTACTGTGTGTGGTCGCTGAGCCGCAGAAAAACATCACAACAGATTGAAATAAATCTGCAGGCGTCCAGGACCGACCAGCCTGTGCCCTGGACGGCTACGACAAACCAGTCCAGCTTTGGTCAGTCAGTCGTTTGCAATGTTATAACAGTACCTTATCAGATGCAGCAAGACAGTAGAACAAGAGGATACAAAGCCAGAGCTGCCCATGGGCAATTTCAGGGCAGAGACTAATTAACGACCGGTACGGGTTGCCGGGAAGGGACAACACCAGGAAACGTTTCAATAACATTGGCTGCCCACAAAACACACAGTCAATTCACTTTACAGTATACTTTTGCTGTGAAGCTCTTCGAGACGTCTCGAAGACGGGATAAGAAGCTATATCAACATGCAAGGGTTATTATTATTGTTATTATTATTATTATTATTATAACGGTGGTGTGATGAGAAGACAGTGAGGGTGGGTGTTCTGGAAAGGATGAGGTGAGAAAGGCCGAGGGGATTTCTTCAGCCGAACCGATCTTGTGATGAAGCAGATCTAGTCGCTGATCTGTTCACTCACACTCAGCGGGTTCTCAATGTTGATCAGCCAGCCGTCAAAGCCCGAGGCGCGAGCAATCAGGGCCAGCTTGTCTGCCACCAGCTGGAACTTCTCCTCGCTCTGCAGGAAATCCTCGCAGGTCTGAGCCCCTCCCTTCCACTCTGTGATGAAAGTTCCTGCAACAGAAATAAATAATTACAGGCCGACCTCGGTATAAACGTACTCCCTCGGGCCTTGGGAAAAAGAGCGTTATTATCCCGGTGTTCGCTATAAACATTTAAATACTGAAATGGCCGAACAGGAGAAACTCCCTTCTCTTTGCAAATAGAGCAACAGGACCTTTAAAGTCCACCTGAATAGGCGTCATCTCCAACATTGGAATGCCACCCTACACTATGTGAGTTCAAAGCCCTGGCTTGAGGGATATTGCTGTGCGCAAATTGGCTGTCGCGTTCACCTACAAAATACACAAGTCACTTCGCTTTACGGTAAGTCCTCTGAAGTACTTTACTCCGAGATGTCCTCCCGATTTGAAAGGCGCTTGTGATATCATTAAATATGACCCACAGCCTTGTGACTCAAGGGACGAGAGCGCGACCAACTGAGCCAGACTGACACCCGAAGAGGATTAAATCGAAGGGTCCGTGCAAATCCCAAATAAACTTTTTCAATTGAATTTCGAGGGAAGCGAAGGGATAGAAACCTGACAATACTTCGCTCCCAAACAGCTCACACTCACCCAGAACAGACACCCCGTGTCTGTGTGCTGCGTTGGTCCAGCAGACGGGGGGGATGGTCACCATTTGGTGACTGAAGTACACGAAGATGTCGATGTATTGCCAGTGGTAAAAGACAAATGGGTCGTCTTCACAGATGCCTTGCACGAACCTACAGAGGTTTGGGAAGAAAAAATCTCTCAAGAGTTTTTTTTGAACGTTTTGATTTTATTACGAAACCGTGTTCCTTCCCTCGGCCGTTAATACACATCCCAGAGCACCAGCTGCAACGTACTGAGTTGATATAATCTCATCGCTGCCACGAGAGACGACAACAACAACAACAACTTGCATTTATATTTATATAAAGCGTCCTTTATGCAGGGTTAGCACCTCAGAGCGCTTAAAGCATTGTGCGCTTACCAATCGCCGAATTCGGTGCCCCTATTCCCGGACCCTGTTCCCCCCACACCCCACCACCGCCCCCCCCCCCCCCCCCGCCACCCTGATTTACCGCAGCTCCGCTGACGTGAGGCCAGGCTGTTCCCACCCCTAAACACACACACACACACCTGTCGCTCAGGTAGCCGCCCGCCATGTCGTGGCAGACCAGCGTCCTGGGCCGGTCGCTGCTCAGGAGGGGCCTCCGACCGGCAATGGGGGTCACGGCTTTGTTGAAGTCCTCGTCCTCGCCACAAGGCCGCCACGACCTCAGCCCTTCCAAAGAGGAGACGTAAAAGCTGACGGGCTCCGTGCTGCCCGGCTCGTAGCACCGGGCTGGCGTTTTAGACAAGAGGAAGAAAAGGACGTGAATTACAATCGCACGGGCAGGGTGGGGGTGTGGTGGGGGGGTGGGGGGAGGTGGTGGGGGGTGGGGGCGGTTTTCGCAACGGGAGGGTATGTTCCCAGGTCCTGAGAACCAAAAGAGGAACGGAATAAGCCTCCAAACGCGCAGGTGGCCCTGAGCTAAACTCCCGATGAGGCGTTTTTTTCTTCCGGCGGGAAGCGGAGAGCGTTGATTCTTTCCAAAGCAAATTCGACAGATTTCTGTCAGGAAGCAAAACCTCTCGGAAAACAGCGTACAGTTTGGGACGCAACGTGGTGCCTGTGACTGCCGGGATGGTGGACGGACCTTCCCGTCTTCTTTTGCGTTCTTAACGTTCTACAAGGATGCCGGACGTACAAATCACAATAAAATGAGTGAAGGAGCAATGCAATGTCCTTCAAACCCCACCCCCCCGCCCCGCGCTTGCCTACAAAATACCTAGTCACTACACTTTGCAGTAAAATCCTCCGAAGCGCTTTGAGGCGTTTCGGCTATGTGATAAGGCACTGTTTGAATCGCAATGATTATTCTGCTTGTATATTAAACTGTGAACTCCTGACAACTCATCAGGTCAAGGGAAAGGGGTTCAGTGACTGGAGCAGCCAGTTGGGCGTATGTACACATAAATAAATGCGGACAGGACGTGGACAGCACAGCGACTTCTCAAGCGGTGTTGACATGTCGAGGTAGGGTCGAGTTATCAGGAGTTTATCGTATAATTATTATTATTATTATTATTCGTCACCTGAGAGCTGCGGAGGTTCATATTGGATCACTTGATCGATCTGCTGCTCTACTGGCTGTTCTTCCCCGGGACCTGGGCTGCAGGAGGAGAAATCCGGGCATTTATTATATCTATATTACTTGATATAAAAGTTTCCTCAACTCCACACGCTTCTGTTTGCTTAGCAGTAAGTAGGAACCCGCGTGTTCGTCGATCGACGGACGATCCCTTAAAAAAAATCGGTTACCCAATCCACGCCTGATGGTAGGACACTTCTGTGCGCATTTGGCTGCCGCGTTTCGCCCGCAAAATTTACAGTGTGAGTGGCAGTATATCCGGCGAAGCGCTGTGAGACGTCCCGAAGACGCGATAAGGCGCTGCAACAAACAAACGCGAGGATTATTGTCATTATAATGATATTTATTAAAGAAGAATAAAATGTTATTATTCTTTAATAAATATTTTTTATTTTAAAATATTGAATAATAATAATAACGACTCATTGTTGTTATTATTTGGGAAAAGAAGAAATAAAACAAAAGAGGCAAAAAAAACAAATAGACAACATCATGTCTCAATGTTGTGTTGTGGTCAAAGGGTCTGTACTTCCTCCTCTGACTGTGAAACTGAGACACTTTGCACAGACGCCGGCGATCAGACACTCACACACTCACTCTCACACTCATTCACACTCACTCTCACACTCACACTCTCTCACGCACGCATTCCCACTCACACTCACTCATTCACACTCACTCATTCACTCATACACACTCATTCATTCATTCACACTCACTCACACACTCACTCACTCATTCACACTCACTCTCTCACACTCACTCACACACTCTCATACTCACTCACTCATTCACACTCACTCTCACTCACTCACTCATACACTCACTCATTCACACTCACTCTTTCACACTCATTCACTCACTCACTCATTCACACTCACTCACTCTCATTCATACACTCATTCATTCATTCACACTCACTCACACTCACTCACTCATACACACTCACTCACTCATTCACACTCACTCACACTCACTCACTCATTCACACTCACTCACTCTCACTCACTCATACACACTCATTCATTCATTCATTCACACTCACTCATTCACACTCACTCACTCACTCACTCACTCAGTCACTCACTCACACTCACTCACACACTCTCACACTCACTCATTCACACTCACACACTCACTCACACTCCCTCACTCATTCACACTCACTCACTCACTCATACACATTCATTCACACTCACTCACACTCACTCACTCACACTCACTCATTCATACTCACATACTCTCACTCACTCATACACACTCATTCATTCATTCACACTCACTCATTCACACTTACTCATACACTCATTCATTCATTCACACTCACTCACACTCACACACTCTCTCACTCACTCATTCACTCACACACTCACTCACACTCACTCACTTATTCACACTCACACACTCATTCACTCATTTACACTCACTCACTCACACATTCTGTCACTCATTCACTCACTCACTCACTCACACTCATTCACTCATTTACTTACACTCACTCACACACTCTCTCACTCACTCACTGTCATTCACTCACACACTCTCTCACACTCACTCACTCATTCACACTCACTCACACACTCACACTCCCTCACTCATTCACACTCACTCACTCATACACACTCATTCATTCATTCACACTCACTCACTCACACTCATTCACCTTCACTCACTCACTCCCACACTCTCACTCACCTGAGCTGCCTGACCTTGCAGTCAGGTACCTGCTCTCTCCTGTTGCTCTCTGCCTCTGTACCTCTCTTCATCACTCACTCACTCACTTCCTCCCACCGCCCCCTATTACAGATAACGCTTCTACTTCCCAGTAATTTACTGCAGCCTTTGTGGAACAAAATGCAACACGAAACCAAAAAAAAAAAAAAAATTCAGAGAGAGAGAGAAATCGCATTCAAAATGCGTTGCTGTTGGAAAGAGAAAGAGAAAATCATCATCAGAGAAACAGCACAAAAAACAGGTCAAGAGACTTTTTTTTAGCATCTTCCTGGTTGACTGATCAGCAGAGCATCCTCTCTGATCAACAGAGCATCCTCTCTGATCAGCAGAGCATCCTCTCTGATCAGCAGAGCATCCTCTCTGATCAGCAGAGCATCCTCTCTGATCAGCAGAGCATCCTCTCTGATCAGCAGAGCATCCTCTCTGATCAGCAGAGCATCCTCTCTGATCAGCAGAGCATCCTCTCTCTCTCTCTCTGGATACAGAGAGACCAGACAACAACAACAACAACAAACAACCACAAAATGACATTTTGCCAAAGCGCCTTTCACGCCGGGAGGACGTCCCGAGGCTCTGGACGGACGGGAGTTACGGACCCGAGCTGGGGGTGAGGTTGGGGCGGGGGGGGGGTAAATCGGGGAGATCGAAAGCACGTTTGGTCGAAGAGGAGGGTCTTGAGGTGGGTCTTGAAGGTGGCGAGGGAGAAGGGGGGGTGGGCCGAGACGGAGGGGACTGCCGGATGGAGTTCCAGCAGGTGGGGGCAGAGTGGAATTTGGACAAGAGCATTTAGTGGAGTCCTGTAGCTCAGTGGTTAGAGCACTCGCTTTGCAAGTGAGAGACCTGAGTTCAATTCCAGGCAGAGGGCGAAACCTTGGGCAAGTTTCCTTACTCCACACAGAGCCTAATAATAATCCCTCCAAAACCACAAACAATAATAAATTGGTCATTTTCAATCTACGACTGTTTGTGGGACATTGCTGTGCGCAATTGGCTGCCGCGTTCGCCCACAAATATATACAGTCAATTCACTTTACAGTGTGTTCTGTGAAGCGTTTTGGGACGTCCTCTCGACGTGAAAAGCACTATATCAAATGCAATGATTATTATTATAGAGACTAGATGAGAGAGAGAGAGACACTGAGCCCTGACCCCACCACCCCACCCACCCAGTTTGTAGCTGTGCTGAAACTTACCGTCATCGTAAGAGGAGAGTCTTGTAAGCTCGGTGGTTAGATCGCTCGCCTCGCAAGCGAGAGACCTGGTTTTGATTCCCTGGCAGAGGGGGAGAAACCTTGCGCAGGTTTCCTTGCTTCCGCGCGCCTGTTAATAATCCCTCAAGAAAAAATCAAAACAATAATAAAATTGGTGGCTTCAACCCAACCCACGACTGTTCGTGGGGACGCTGATGTGCGCAACTGGCTGCCGCGTTTCGCCCACAAATATACAGTCAATTCACTTTGCAGTGTGTTCTGTGAAGCTTCACTTTACGGTGTATTTTGAGATGTGATAAGGAGCTATATCAACACGCAAGGGTTATTATTATATCAAATGCAGGGATTGTTATGATAATTATTATATGGCACCCTCCGTGCAGGATAATGTCTCTCGGAGCGCTCCCCAAACGTGGGGTCGGATGCCGAGCGAGGGAGAGAATCTTTTTTGATCCTTTCCAGCGCCACTGTGTAAAGCCATTCCCATGTAGAAAAATAAACTGTGTCGCGCCTGTCACGCCAGGAGGACGTCTCGAAGCATCGAAATGGACGTCAAGTCACCAGATTTGTATCAATGCCTGGCATCTGGAAACTCTGTTGCTCTTATTATGTTTATCCGCTCTATTTCCCCCCCCGCACCCAACCATCAGCCACTGGGTGCCCTCCCTCTGAAAGCTAGGCCCTCCAACTTCCCCCCACCCCCCCCCACCAATCTTTCATGGCATGTCTCAAAATATTCCTCTTTGACCGTACTTTCGGTCATCTTTCACCTCCTCACTCTCCCCCTCCATCCTCCCCCAATTCCCGCCCTCAGTTCCCAGCCAGAATTGTCAAGCGCTTTTGGATGTCCTCCCAAAGTGAACGGCGCTCCAAACTGTGTATCGGATCGTCTGAAGAACTTTGCACAATGTTTGCGTTAACGGACTGTTGTATAAGTGTTTGACACTATTTAGGGGCACAACTTTCCTTCTCCATCATTACAGTAGTTTACACCCCAGTCTTACAGAGATTATTAGCTAAACAGCTTACTTTGCACATTAACTCTCGCTATCTTGTTCAAAGTTCATCATTTGATCCGTCCCTTTTCCTGGTTGCTGAGCTGATAACAACAGGCAATAATAATATAATAATAATCCTTGTGTTTGGTGTCGCGCCTTTCACGTCAGGAGGACAAAAATGTAACACACCACCCGCGACTGATTTAGAGCGTCAGCTGAGAATACGTGAGACCTGATCCTGACATGGACCTTGAACGTACAAACGTCTGACTCAGGAGCCAGGTAATAAATAAATTAAAAGATCCATAAGTGCAAAGTAGTCTCCCAGTGTCTGTGTGTGTGTGTGTGCGCTTCTCGCTCACTTACAACAACAACTTGCACTTATATAGCACCCTCCACGCAAGTGCTTTAACCTATATACTATAGGACTCCACTAATATAGGCTCTGTGAGTGGGTTAATTTTATTTAGGCCATGGGAGCATGACTGGCGACTGTAAGCTTTAAGATACAAAGCAGGATTAGAGGTTTGAGAAGGATCCACTTGGCAGCCTTTGGAGCGATGTGTCCGTCCACATTCCTGCCGGTTGTCAGAGATTTCAAACACCACAAATATTCTCAAACCGAAGCCAAATCGTGAAAAGTAAACCACCTGTAACCTCTTATTTATATTAGCAGTTTGTTTACATTTAGCCTTGAAAAGTGAAAAGTGCAGACACACATCAACTTGAAATTGACTTAAGTACGATTTCCCAGACGATTAAATGCTCAGTTACGCAATATAAATAGCACAACTGCAGAAGCACCAGCATTTTCCTGTATATCTCCCATACCACCATGAAATCGAACAGTAATCGGAGCCAGGCAACAACAGGCACGTAACAATTGTTTATTCCTAACAGGCCACTTAACAATTTAAATTAGTTAGTAAAACAGGGCACAAGAATCAGCAATTTAATACAGAGTTCGATCACTCGAGGGATCAAGAGGGGAATTACTTCAGTGGATAATAATAATCCTTGCAATTGAAACAGCACCTTATCATGTCATTGAGACGTCTCAAAGTGCTTGACAGGATGCACTGTAAAGTGTAGTGACTGTGTATTTTATGTTTTTTCGGGTTCTTTTGTAAATTTATCTCCCCAAAAAAATGAGTGCAAATTGATACAGATGAAGTCAACAAAAAAATCAAGTCATCTCCACTGCTGTGATCTGATGACAGATCTGCTGGCCAATATCTGTTGTTTCACTTGTTTGTGATTCTTTTACCCCGGCTCTCCCTCAGCAGCTGCTGAACAGACAGCGATAGAATTGAGGCATGTGCTGATACTGTATGCCAATTTCTCCCGGCGTGGGGAATGTGGGGAAGGCGGTTTTAAACGCTGAGAAAAAGCGGGTTTGCTTGACGTGGAACCAGACCAAAACAGGGGAGTGGGAAATCAACCTAAACTTGGAAAATATATTCCCGTGCAACAGCTGATAAACATCTCTGAATGTCGAGATAGAAATCATCTGCGTGCAGGGAAGCAAAATATTTTTTGCTTGTGCCGGATATGCCCTCTTAGGTTCAATTCAAAAATTGTGCCTAATTTTGCATCAATCACAGCAACAAAACAACACGTTGCATTATTTATAGAGTGTCCATCACGCAGGGTGAGGTCTCGGAACTCTTGAAACAGAGTTAACTGCAAAATACTATAAAGTTGTACATCTGCCTTTACAGAATGAAGTCTATCAAATGAATAATATCTCACTTGTGTCGGGATTCGATTTGATTTCTGTGGCCCACAAACACAGAGTCACTACATTCAACAGTAAACCCTGCGAAGTGCTTTGAGACGTTTCAACAACGTGATAAGGCGGCGAGTCAAATAATCAAGGATTATTATCATCGAGCTACTAAAAGAAAACAAGCAATGCCTCCCCTCTGAATTTTTTTACCAGGGGCTACTTCGTTGACCTAATTTGGGACATTTCTTAGTAGATTTCTTAGTAAGAAATTCAACAGTGCCTTCGCTCTCCAGCACATTCAGCATTTTAGAAGCTCGCTGATTGCACCTCCCTTGATAAGAAATCTGTTCGAAATACTGCAGACACTCTATTTATGGCAAGTCATGTTATGGTAGAAGCGTAGTTACATTTGAGCCGGCCCGATTGCCAATTTCAGATAAGGTGGAGCTGAGTTGACAAAGAAGCCAACCACTGTTGCCTTGTTACATATGGAAGCCATAAAGAGAAACACTAGCTGGAGCTCTTTCGGAAAAAAATTAATGACCTGATTTTGTGCTCTGGTTGAAATCCAGCAGCTGTTTTCACAAGATTGGTTTGGATGAAGAAGGCTCTTTGGCCTGTCCAATCTCCTTGTTCCAAACCCCCCACCCCCATTAATCGCATCAAGACGTTTGCTTCAAAGCTGCCTATTTGCAATGATAGACTGAATACCATTGCAGTACACTCACCAGTTAAACAGTTTGTTTGGCCAGTAATTTATAATAATATAATTCTTCTTAGATAACTATTTGGGGAGGATAGATAATTATTTGGGGAGGATACGTTTGCAGGGCTGGGGAGAGACCGGGTGAGTGGGATTGAATTGGTTAGCTCTTTTCAAAGAGCCGGCACAGACACGATGGGCTGAATGGCCTCCTTCTGTGCTGTATAATTCTATGATTCTTTTGGTGTGAGTGATTTGAGTTGTCAGTGAGCTTCAATGGGCAGGATAGACAGAGGTGTGCGGGGGGAGGTTGGAAACCTGTTCACTTCAAAACACATGGATAATCCCACTTGATGTTATAATAATAACCCTCGCATTTGATATAGCGCTTTTCACGTCTTTTCGACGTCTCAAAGTGCTTCACAGAATATACTGTAAAGTGAAT